TCATCACAAATTTTTAGTATTTTGGAAGAAACGTCTCTTCCTGATTTCGACGTGTTTACAACGCCAAAACTTGATAAACCTATCGCGGATCAAATTCAAAAAAATTATAAAAAGTCGGTTGAAAACCGTGGTAAAGAACTGATAAAGGTTCAGAGACATGTCCTAAACGTGGGGGCTCCATTGACAGCCCTCCATGATCTGCTAGAAAGCTAACAAGAATTATCACATGATAAAATGTTAAGTTGAACGGGTCATTTGTTTGCTAGGGAATGCAACAAATCCCCTTTCGGTGTTGCGTAGAACTAAGATTCTATACGCTATAAATGCGGCAAAGATTTCGCTTGCAAAAGCCCCTTTTCCAAACGCAGGAAAGCAGTTGTTTGGCGAGGACATTACGAAAATAGCAGCTGATAGTGCTGACATTGTTAGAAATCTACAAAAAAATCTAAATCAACAGCACCCACAAACATCTTCGTGGTCGAAACCACAATTGAAAAAATACCAATCAAAAAACCAAAATTTTCGCCCGACTCCCTTCGCCCCAAATCGCTACCCTCACCAGGCGAAGGGCAGATTTCAATTCCAGCAGCAGCCCTTTCGAGGCAAGCAAAACAACAGCTCCCGGGGCGCCTTCCTTTCTTCATAAAAAACTGGCTAAATATAACACAAGATTCTACCATTTTAGAAATCGTTCAAGGTTATCAAATTCAATTTCACAGTCCTCGTATTCAAAAAACTGTTCCTCGCCCGTCGTTGCAAAATTGCAAGTTAGTAAGCGAGGAAATCGAAGCGTTGTTACACAAAGGCGCGATTAAGCGTGTACATTTCAACGACCAAGCGTTCTATCACAAAATATTTTTAGTTGCCAAAAAAGGTGGTGGTCAACGCCAAGTTTTACATCTAAGCCCTCTAAACAAATTTATCCAGACAGAACATTTCAAAATGGAAAATCTCATGACAATAAAATCCCTCATAAACAAGGGGGATTATATGATAAATATAGATCTGACAGATGCATATCTAACCGTTCCTATACATCAAACCTCGCAGAAACTTCTTTCCTTCTTATGGCAAGGAACGTCTTACCAATTCGTAATAATGCCGTTTGGTCTGAATGTTGCACCGAGAGTGTTAACAAAATTAATCAAGCCAGTAATAGCTTGGCTGCGCAGTCAGGGTGTTCGAATGATTATTTTTCTAGACGATATACTCGTGCTAGCCCCATTAATCGAAACATGAAACCAACACACACGTATGACTATAAGTCTACTGGAATCATTAGGGTTTCTGATCAATTACAAAAAGTCAACACTAATACCCACGCAGCGGATCCTCTTCTTGGGGATGCTCATAGACTCAACAACGATGGACTTTATTTTGCTAAAGGACAAATCTGAAAATATTCTAAGAGAGTGTCGGCATCTTTTGAAGACACATCAGCCTTCCATCAGGCAAATATCACGGGTCCTGGGGCTCCTAGAATTCACTCGCCCAGCGATTTGGTCCGCCCCTTTACATTATCGTCACATTCAACTTGTACAGATAGAGTCTCTACATCAGACGTCCGATTACAACACACAAGTGAACCTCTCCAAAAATGCGAAATTGGATTTGATTTGGTGGATAACCAATCTACCATCGCTGAGGGGAAGTCCCATTCTGCCTCTAACTGCCGATCTAACAATCTCATCAGATGCTTCCAAAATAGGCTGGGGAGCATCCTGGGGGAAATTTCGGACCGGAGGACGGTGGAATACCCACGATTCCCAGGATCACATAAACATCCTGGAAATCAAGGTAGCCTTCTTTGCCCTGAAGTCGTTCGCGAAGGATCAGATCAACAAGGTGATTGGTCTGAAGATAGACAATTCGACTGCAGTAGCATATCTGAACAACAAAGGAGGGACCCACTTCCATCAGTTACTGCAGCTAACATTGGAGATATGGAATTAGTGCGAGACAAAACGCCTTTTTTAGCTCAACATGTTCCGGGAAAGAACAATGTTGTTGCGGACGAAGAATCGCGCAAAATGAGGGACCACAACGACTGGAAAATCGATTCGACAGTCATCAGGCAATTCATCAAGAAGTGCCAGATAGACCTCTTTGCTTCCCGCCTGACTCGTCAGCTGAACCGTTACGTCAGCTGGCGACCAGATCCGGGTGCGATCCATGTGGATGCGTTCACCATGAACTGGACGAACTTAAATGCGTACGCATTCCCCCCATTCAATTTAATCCCTTCACAAAGCCCCCAAACATTTAACGTTTCGTTTAAAAATAGATACAAATGAGAATAAAGTCCAGACAGATCGAGAAGACGTACAGATATGTCTAAAATTTGTTGCGGTTTTAGTGTCGTAGAGTGAGAAGCGGATACAGAGCCGTGTGAAGCACTCGAACAACTGAAACTGTGACGCATGGGGATATTGAATTTTTAAGGTTTCTCGTATGGATGGCAAACTATGTTCTGATAAATTAATTGTTCAATTCATAAAGGCATTTCCTGATCATACTTTTACCTATTTTTTGGATGATATGGACAGTTTGTAATCTTTCTGTCGCCTGCCTTAAGTGGTTACTTATAGAAAGGGAAATGATCACTCAAAATTAATATCAATAAATTAAACTGATATGATAATGATGTCCTCATCTCCTGAACGCCGAAACTAGTCTATCATTTAAAGCTAACGTATAATATACCACAAAATATAATAGGGGCATTTCAAATCGATAACGCGTCGCCAGGTGATCTGTCTACTAAAAAGTTAAACCCTTTTGTTTAAACCTTTTGTTTAACCCTTTTGTTTAACCCTTTTTTTTAAACCCTTTTGTTTAAACCCTTTTTAACCCCAAAATTATAAAGCAGAATAAATGCGAAAATATATAGTTAAATACTCATTAATAATATAAAATATCATTAATAATTCATAATTCATAAACCTTGTGGCAAATCATGTCAGTCAGCCATAATATGTCACGTGGAGTGACTTTATATCTGATTTTTGATGAATGTAGCTTCTTTGGGTACTTAAAATGTAGAATAATGAAAAAATATCTCCAACTCAAATTTTGTGAACCAGGGGGTGTGTCTTTTCCAACAAAATAAAAATGGCCCTGGCACCCAGGGTAGCGAAAGGCTGATATTTTAGAAAAAAATGAAAAA